GTGCTTAAAGCATCAATATTGCTGGTGATTTGTGAATCAGTAAGAACGCAGCTTGACTCCGGGATCCTCAGCAGCATGTCCAGGACTAGCTGCTAGAGAAAAGATGCTATTGTAAACCGTGCAGATTGGATCTGGAGTGACAGACATACACTGCAGTCATGATTTTAAGGCTAGAGCATCACTTTTAAGAGCACAAGCTCCGCAAAGGAAGGTAGTGGACAGGGTCCAGGGAAGGTACCATCTTTTTTCCAATTCTTTGGCACTGGGTCTGCTGTTTGCACTGCAAAGGATCCACTTTGGAAACAGTGAAAAGCATGGTGATGGCCATGGAGCTGTACCCATCTGAAAATCTGGCCTGCTGTGCAGTTGCCCCTACCAGCGCAGCTTGCCTCTGCCCGCATGCCGTAAATAAGGCAGGCTTCTCCTGCCATCAGATTCCTTCCTTCCAGTCTCATTGTGTCTCTGCTCCGGTTTCAAGTGTTAGATGCATGCAACTTTTATCCATTAGACCCGGGGGTTGCCCCGGCTGCTTCTCAGTTACATTTCCCCTGTTGGTAATGGAAACTCAAGCTGTAGAGAGGGATGTCTGTGAAACAACATCTGTTTCATCAAAAAGCCAGACACTCAGCACCTGTGCAGTCTGCTTCAGCCTCTGCATCCAGGATTTGTTTAAAACAACATAACAATAGCATGGCGAACCCAGGAGAGATTCTCTCCAATTCTCATCATTTAACTTGCTTTGGTTTCTTCTTTCGTCTGTGCTGGATCTGTTCCTCAGTTCACCACTCTTTGGAGCCTGCTGGTGAGAACAGCTCTTCACCTGAGGTGTCGTGGGCTGTGTTTGAAAATTGTCTTCCATCAGCAGTGGGGTTGCCAAGCTTTTGTGGCTCCTGGGTGACTCTCCTGCTGAAAAGTGACCTCATTTTGTGGCAGCAACCACCAGTCCTGAGACTGTTTCCAATTTCAGCAGGCTGATTTCACAACCCTGGGGAACGTCACACAACCATTTAGGACTTTTGGGGGCCTTTTGAGATGTCAGAAAGCTGGACAAGGACAGAGCCATGGAGCTTGGGTCTGGAATTAGATCAGAATCAGATCTTCCTAGAAGTCTGGTCATGTTCAGAGCCAGATTAAGGCATAGGCATGTGCCCAGAGCTCCAGCTGCTGGAGTCATGTGATCAGTTCATTATCTAAGTTTACAAAAAATTAGGTTTCTTTCCTCACTAACTGTGAAGGGGAGTGTGAAATTCTAGGCAGAGTGTAACTGTTCCTGGGGCATGGCATGGTGACCCACACTATAGTATTCTTAGGATCCAATATTTCCTTTATGTAGCCTGGGAGGCAGAGAGAGAAAGGCCTGCCCTCTTCCACTCTCAATGCTCAGGATGGTCTGAATTCAGAGTCCCAGGTTCACTCCAGTCTCTGAATTTCCCATAGGGCTTTGAGGTTAGTGTCTGGATGGGTAGATCTTGTGCTGTGCTGAGTGGACTAACCTACACAGCTGTGAGTGTCTGAGATCCTGCTTTTAATACAGGTCTAAAAATCACTACAAGAATGAGGCTGGGCAAAGGTTTTATTGCATGTAGATTTTAAATGAGCTGTGAGATGGGATGGAAATGAGCCTCTATCTTCATAACTGAATTCCCACACCTTTGGTACCAGAGACTTTCATTTTTATGGCAACAAAGCAAGTAAGAAGGTAAATGCTAATCTACTACGTGCAGATGCCAGCTGTTCTTAATGGCTGCATGACCTTTGACTTTTCAAGGGCTCTTGTCAGCCTCTCTTCCTGCTATCGCAGCCCTTTATAAACCACCCTCACCTCATCATAGACTGAAGTATCATCTTGGCTGATGGAAAAAGCAGCAGCTTGTGAACAAAGACTTCAGGTTACTGTCTGGATTTGTGCCAGCTAGAGCTGGACATTTTCCACTGAAAACACAGCATCAGATGATAAAGCTGAACTTGGTGACATTTCAGTGTGTCTTCAAGTACTGTAGAAAGTACTCTTTTCTCCTCCCTGCTTTGTGTAGGCAGCAAAGAGTATACTTATTTTGCTGTTTTTACTATGCAGTTGGGAAATCTTGAGGTTGGTATTAAGTAGCTGATAAAATCACACTGATTAGTGGGTATTAGCAACAGATAAAACCCCCAAGGACATACTGCATCTTTTTTTAATGACTCACGAATAGCAAGATCCGCCTGTCAAGCAGAATTTGCAGCAGCTTGGAGAGGGGACCTTACTTCACTGAGCAAGCATTTGCATAAATACAATAGGTTGAAAAGTGCCCACATTTCTAAAATAAAAAAACTGAAATGTTCCTAACAGAAGATCTAATAAACAGTCATCAATGTGTCTAGATATAATAATTTATTAACAGGTTTGGTATTAAGAGGTCAAATTTAGAAGTGTAGGATTGAATGACTGTGATGATTTAATAACCTCAGACCATTCAAGTTCACATGGCAGGTGTATGAACAGGTTCTCTAAAACACAGCGGGTATTTAATAGAGGTGGACTGATACACCTGTCCCAAGATATAAAGAAAATTGACAATATCAGCAGTAGGCTTTTTTTTGGCTGATGTGGCTGATGTGCACGGGGCATTTATCAGCCACCTTGTACACAGCTGCAGTGCAGCACGCAGGTGGGCAGGAGTGCAGCCCTGCAGCATGGAGAGCAGCCGGAGGGCTACTTGTATGGTTGAGGGCCTGCAGGTAAGATCCTATGAAGACAGACTGAGGAACCTGAATCTCTTCAGCCTCTGCAAGAGAAGGCTGAGTGGTGATTTTGTGGCTGTCTACAAACTCATCGGGGGCGGATGATCACCAGGGAATAGGGGGTATTCTGTTTACCATGGTGCCCCTCTGGTTTACTAGAAACAGTGGCCATAAACTGAAGGATAGCAGATTGTGATATTTTTACCTTTGCATCAGATTTGGCCCATGGAGTGGATGTGCCTGTAAATAGGATTGGGCCCGTTTCCCCTCCCATATTTGTGGAGGTGCCGGGGAGCCAAGGGAATGGCAGTGGGAGCATCTCCTCGTTGAAGCATTTCACCATATAAAACCATTGCCTCTGGAGTAGTCATGGTGGGACCAGGGCTTGAGGAGGAGGTCCCTGGCCTGGATTCATCCCAGCCTGACAATTTATCTTATGACTTTTGCCAGCTCCAATAGAGAGGAAGGCGCTGCCCTCTCCAGCCTGGCTGTTGTACATCCACATTGCACAGGTGCAAGCTATGTCCTAAGGCAGTGGTAATCCACCATCCGTTGTATTTCATAATATGTTGCAGGGTTGAACTGTAGCTTGTGAGTTCGGTGTAGGGCAGTGTTGTGTCCTCTGTGCATCCAACTTGCAAGTGTTGTATGGTTGTAATGCCATGAAGCGTTTCCTTGGAAACCCCTCCAGGCAGAGAGGCTTGGGCTGCCTGTGAAGGAGTCATGAAGAGCAGATTGGAAACGCTGCGTGTCCCTGGAGTGGCGGGGAGATGCAGCAGCCCTGGAATATGTCATCCCTTCTGCAATGACAGCTGCACTCCCACTCCCTTTGGGACCGGGGCTTCCTTTGAAACCATTTTTCCTTTACATCCTCTGCATAAACCCTGCTCTCTAATAATGAAGAGTGTAATGTGATGCACATAGGAGGGGAAAAATAGGCAGAAAGCAGAGTAGATATAGAATAACCCAAAATGTTCATACATACCGATGGGCTCTATATTACCTGTTACCACTCAGGAAAAAAGATCTTGGAGCAATTGTGGACAGTTCATTTAAACCATCTGCTCAGTGTTTAGCAGCAAAAGGTAAATCAAATGTTAAGAATTATTAAGAAGGGATTTGTAAATGAGCCAAAAAAGTATTATTATGCCTCTTGATGCATCAGTGGTGTGTTTGCACCTTGAAGACTATGTGCAGTTTTGGTCACTGTACCTTAAAAAGGATATTAAAGACCTAGAAAAGGTACAAAGAAGGGCAGCAGAGATGGAGGGGCTTCCATATGAAGAGAGACTAAATAGGCTAGGACATGTCATCTTCAGTGCCTGAAGTGGGGCATGATAGAGGTTCACAAATTATTAAATGGTGTGGAGGAAACGGGGATTTATTATTTATGATCTCTTGCAGTACTACAACTAGGGCATGTAAAATTAAACTATTCGGTAGTAGGTTTAAACCTAACACAAGGAAGTTCTTCTTCACACACCAAGTAATCACCTCGTGGAACTCATTGCCGCAAGGCATTGTGGAGGGTGGTAACTGAACCCGGTTCAAAAGGAGATTGGACCAGTTGGACCAAAATTTTAAACATAAGGTGGCAGCTTCTAAATTAGAACTTCTTCCTAAATCTCTGAATGCTGGAAGCTGTAATGGGAGAGGAAGAAGGGTGGAAAATTCTGAACGTGTCCTGGTCACCTCCTTTCTCCCCCTCAACATCCACTCTGCCACTGTGTGGGACCAGGGTACTGGGCCAGATGGACCGATGGTCAGAGCCAGTAAATGGCATTTCTTAGGTTCTGAAAGGTATGACCCGGGCCAGGTGAAGTCTTGCTGCCTCCCTCTCATGGGAGCTTGGGATGGAGTGGAGCAGCTCTTCTGTTCCCAGATTCAGCAATGAGTCCTGTTCTCCTGTAGACTTAAAGCAGCAGAGTAGAAGGGGCTTGCCAATCCCTTCACCAAACTTTAATCCCAGGCAAAGCATGTCATGGGGCATTGCTCATGTGAACTGGTAGGAGACTGCTCTATGGAAAGTAGCACTTGGCATTATCCTAGGAGCCCTGTGAAAGCTTTGGGTGCGTGCATGGCAGAGCAGCAGCTTGAATTTGGGCTAACTGATGGTGCAGCACACTGCTTCTTCCAGTCAGCCCAGGGTGAGGAGCCTGCCAATTGTGCCTTGCAAAAACACAGCTCTTTGTCTCCAGGACTCTGCCTTCTGCATTGTGGCCAGTGTTTCTGGGTGCCTTAGATACCAAACTGACTTTTTGTTTTCTCTGTCCAACCAGGTGTACATCATAAATGTCATGTGGTCTGACTCGACTTCCCAGATCATCTACCGAAGATACAGCAAATTCTTTGACCTGCAGGTAATGGTTAGTTTTTCTTTCCGCAAAACGTTTCTCCTGCATTTGCACTATGTGTGTTTCCACCACACGGTAGTGACAGAATGAAATCAGGCTTCACGCACACACCTCATGATCTCAAAGTGCTTTGCAGACTTTGCTTACTCCTCATGGGATGTCAGGTTGGTAGGACCAGTATTCTTCCTACTTTGCTGATGGGCAAACTGAGCCCCAGAGAATTTAGAGTTGAAATTTTCAGGAGTAGCTTGGGTGCCTTGCTTTAATCATGTTGGACCTGTGTTCCAGGAGTGCTAAGCATCTGCAGCTCTGGAAGTCTTCAGTAGTGTCTGGGGGTGCCCCAGCCCCCTTGTAAACCAGGCCTGAGGTGTCTGAAATTTGGATATCCAATGACTCTTGGATGCTTTTGAAAAGGTGAAGTGAGCATCCTGCTCACTGTGCTGGGACTAGGCCCCTGTTCTTACCATTAAACCATCCTTCTATTTGACAGATTGGGGCAACCTGTTCCCTTACCACCCTCTGAGTCCTGACCTCCACCCTGCTTTCAGCACCAGCACATGCCTCCTCACTGTGGGATGTGTGTGAGTGTTGGGGTGCTGATAAATGCTATTTCATTGTTACTTCTCTAGTTGCATCCAGGCAAGTGGGAAAAGGCATGTTTCTAAGGTGACCTGTACATTTGCCCATGTCCAGCCATCAGCATACAGTTTATTAAGGTGCTAACAGAAGAGCTCTCACTACTTTTGTAGCAGCTTAGAAGGAGCATAATAAGTTATGAAAGAGCTGGAGCTTGAGCCAGGCCATGGCATCTAAGACATATGTGGTCAAACCTATTTGTCATGATAAGTATGTGAGAAACAGGTTCTTTACTTGGGAGCTTCATTTTTTGCATGCCTACTTTGAGTTGTTGCAAAGAGGCTAGATTTCCACATTCAGCCTTCCTGGAGGGGCATATAGATTGCCATCCAGAATTGCTCATCAGCTTTGAAAAATGCAGGTGATCATGCCTTGCTTTCTCCAGCTGAGAGCTTGACCTTAATATGGAGCCACCCAGATCCCTAACTTGCTGTACAGATGAGAAGACATGGAAAGGAGGCAGAAAAAGGAACATTTATCATCTTTTCTGAGTCTCCTTTTATGCTTCCTTTCTCCTCCCCACCCACACTCTCTCCATGGGCAGCAATAAAGCTTGTAGCGTGGCCAGTACCAATGGCTTGATCACTGAGCCCCAGGTGTAGCTGTGTCTCTGGGACTTGCACGGTGCCTGTCCATTGATGGACAGGTTTCTAATCGGTGGGGTTTTGTGATTGGTGCAAGGGTTATGGCCAAAGTGGTTTCTTTCTCTCTCTTTCCCTTTTCTTTTTCTTTTTTTTAACGCTCATTCTCTTTTCATGTCTCTGTTCTTCTGGGTCTCCTGGCCTTTCCTGGTAGGTCTGAAAAGTTCCCATCAGGCTGAAGTTATCAATGGGGTTAGTGTGTTGGACAGGAAATGATGTCTCAATCAGGGAGAGGGAGTCCTGAAAGGTCCCATTGATAAGCATGAGGGGGCCCAGCGCCAGTGGAAAACTCCCGCCTGCCCAACGTGTCTCTCCCCAGTCAAAAATACTACAAGAAAGTAATGAAATTCCCTGCCTTAACCCTTTTCCCTCCCAGGGATTTTGGGAGCCACTGGCTGTACCAGGCCACTGGGATAAGAAAGGAAATCGCAGCACTCCTCAAGGAGAGGAGAGAGCTCCAAGTCAGCTCAGAAGTGGCCTCATCCAGCTCTGCTGGTGGGTCACTGAGTATCCCCAGGCAACTCACTTGACTGCTGGGCATCTTGTGTAGAAGGGAGGCAATGCATTTGCCAGGTGCTTTGAAACCTAGCAGGAAGGTGCTACTCAAATGCCAAGACAGGGTATATTTTGGTCATGTGAATCAGACATTAGTGCAGTGATTCTCAAACTTTTTAGATCTGAGGCGTCCCATGAAAAAGGCCAGCTCTTAGTTTTCACTCTTTTTTTTTGACTACAGAAAAATAATAGAGCAAGGGCCTACAACAGGGCAGAACAGCTCGGACACCGTGAATTCCTATTTGAAATCCCAGAGTTTACCTTGTGAATCATGTTTGTGCACCTAATGATGGTAACATTGCACAGCACCCTTGAAAGAATCTCATGGGCCCCTGGTCAAGGATCACTGCATTGGTGATAAAAGGCATGCAGTGCGGTGGCTTGCTGCCTCTGAGCATCTCTGGGGCTGAGGCAAGGGAAGGGCCTTTCTGCTTTCGTTATCATTCCACGAACTGCTCCCCATCAGGGATTTCAAATATAAAATCAGCTCTTTTCGAGCTTCAGCAGAAGCTGTGATGAGGCAGACACAAACCCAGTAGCAGGGCATCGGGAAGGCCCTCTCACTACTCCAGAGGGGGTGACTGAGGAGGGCAAGACCCATGTCCCCAACTCTGCATGCTAGCCAGCAGGTGCTGAAAGGGAGATGTCCATCTGGGGCGAGCCCCTGGCTCCAGGGCTGCTGCTGGGGCCTGTCCTAATTGCCCAGGGTCTAATGTTTGTCCTCTAGTTTTTAGCCATACTCTGATTGGAGTGACAGCCCTGGTGGGGTAGTACCCACTTCCTGATGTGGGGCAATAGCTCCTTATTTCTCATGGGGGGGACAAGAAGGAGAGGTCTGTATCCACATGCCACATCCTGGGATTGGACTGGCCTCCATGCTGGGAAGTACCGCTAAGGCATTGTGTCCTTGCATAATTTGGTCATTCTTGGCTCTTCTCTGGTGCCCTTTACAGCCCTTAAACCAGAGAGTGAGAGCTCAGGGAGCTAATTCACAGGCCCTGTGCATGTCCAAAGCAGCTGGAGGTTTCAGCCTCTGCCAGCCTCTCTTGTCCTATTGTGTCTGCGATATATCGGCAGTCCTGGCCTTTGCTGTATTTGTTTTTGCTCCTGAACGGAAGTAGAATAACAACGAATGCTTGTAATGACTTAATTAGAGCTACAGCACTCGATGTTGACAGTGATACCCGATCGCACTCAGGGGGGAACCCGCCTAGCAGCCACGGGGAGGAGGAGAAAGGAATACAAATAATTAATTTTGGTGCTACGACTCCATCCCTCTTTAAAAAGCTCATTCTTTCCTAATTGCAGTCTCAGTGGGAAATGGCTCATCAGGTTGAGATGCCCCCCCCCCCCCCCCCGGTCTGCTAGATTCCGTGTCTCCAAAATGATTTCTAGTAAATCTTCCTCTTTTTAACCCTGCTGGTATTGGGAGCTGGCATCTGCTTCATGGCTGTGAGAGTAAATATCACCAGCTTTCCCCCTGATGTACACAGGTGTATGTGATTGGCAGCTGGGCTAATGTGTTTTTAAGGTATTAATAGAGCCAGGATCTTTATACATGCTGTAAACTGTACGTTGCTGAATAGGCAGATATCTGCCTTGTGATGCTTGGTGAAGTAACTCTTTCTCCCTTGATCTCTCTGTGGAGGGCTAGAAATGTATAACATCAGGATTCAACTCAACAATGCGGCGATAACCTGATTTAATTGATGACAATCACACCCACTGATGAACGTGGATCAAACCAGGTGGCAAAGGAGTCAAAAGGCTAGAAGTCTGCCCAAATAATTAGATGCCTATTTAGAGCTGGGTCAACTGGCTTGGCCTTTTGCAGGAAGCCAAGAGCGATGACTGCAAAAAACCAACGCTTGCTTGGACGGCCTGGCCTCTGCTGAGTGATTTCAGCTAAATGTTTGTGATGTATTGGGCACTGATTGGGAGCGGGGATTATTTTGTGATGGCTCTGTGCAACATCTGCTGATTTCAGTGGTAAGCTCCTCTCTTCTTCGCCACGTACATAATGAATGGGTGATTTATTTGGGCCGGCATGCGGAGCGTTGAGCAGGATGCATTTTTTGCTTTCCTCTGGCATGGTTCTGCTGTTGATGTGCCCCCATTAGCTCCCCATGTGTTTTGCTTACCCACCAAACAGCAGATCAGCGCAGAGTACAGTATTCTTAACACAACAGTCATCTGTTTGACAATCAGCCTACTCACCGAGCATAGCTTGGCACTGTGATTTCCATCACTGCTAATCTCGGTCGTGTCACTTCCCTGGGAGTTCCTTCCACTTTTATCTCAAGCTACTTTTGGCCTTTTGTGCCTGGGCCGGAGGAAATGAATGCTGCCTGAAGAGGTCAAGTAACAGAGAAGGAGCAAGAGGTTAGGGATGAGCGCATCTCTCCTTAGGCGGCACCAGGACTGTTGCTTCAGCCCTTGGTATCGGTTTGCAAGGGCTTTCCCTTGTCTGTAGTGGTAGAATCTGAGTTCACAATACAGGAGGCTGCCTGTGAGCAGCATCTGTGGGGGAGCAGGGGGGAGCAGGTAAGATGTGAACTGATCCATGTTGCTTTCTCTAGCATTGCCTCCTTTTGCTCTAGAAAATCTCCTCGCGCTCCCCTCAAAAGAGGCCTGCTCCAACATAGACTGGCCCATGGTGCAGTGGCTGGCCACAGACATATAGCAAGAGTCTTTCATCAGATTTACTTCTCTCCTGGGTGAAGTTCCTGCCTAATAGCCTCAGTGCCTGATATGTGATAGGCTTCTCCAGAAAGAAGCAAACATCTGCTTCTAGCAAGCCTTAACCCTCGCAGCAGGCTGGTTTATCACCTGGAACACTGGTAATTAGAATCCATGCAAGGTCTCCCACCATTGCAAATTGATTTGCTAGTCACTGTAACACAATACAGCTGTGCATTTACCATTCACCGCTGCTCGAGTCAGCCAAGTGGAGTTAAAAAGAAGGCGCCTCTCTTGTAGGAGTGGTAATGGTACCTGACATGGCACTTTCGGTGTGGTAAGAGCTTGACAGATAGTGGGCCTGATCCTTTGTGGCCTTGTGCCTGCTACAAACTTGTGCAAATGCTGTGAAGGCAGTCAGCAAGTGGAACTTGCTGATTTGGTTGCATCTGATGCTATGCATGAGTAGAAATGGTTGCACAAGGCGGCAGTGAG